ACTGCAAAATGCAGGTCTTTATCTAGACCCCAACTTCCCCCTTTTTAAATAATTAAAGCAGCTGTGTTTTATTTATTTATTTTACTCAGGCTCATATAGCTACTATAGATACAATACCTGGTTTTCTTCATATGTTTGGGCATGCACAGTCACTTTGCTTTGTGCAGAGAGCCACTATTTTTCTATATAGGTACTATGGAATTACCTGCTGTAGGTAAAAAAGCTATCAGTCTACTCCATCATCAGTGACATAAACATTGTTCATTATTTCTTAAACAAAGTGTTACAAGTTTGGGCTCATTAGAAGTTAAAATGTGGGAAGGAATGAGGATGAAAAAATTTCCTATTGATGGAAAAGATCCACAATATTTTGTAATATTTAATGTCTAAAAATGTTTCTGCTGAATAAAGTTCATACAGTAAATCATTTACTGTTGAAGGCTGTTGGAGTACATGTTGGAATGTATTTTGTATTGCAACAACTACAGAAGTATTCAGCCAGTAGATGGCAGTGTTTAGTTTGCATCTATGGTTATAATCTATGGTTCCTTTTGTTCTGAGGAGAGTTTCCTGTTACAGTTGAAAAACCGCTAAGCAGCAAAGCCCATGGTGACAGTACACTGTACATTTTATTTGGTCTGTATGGCTATGTAACAATTTTCTGCTACCAATCTGTATGGCTACATAACAATCCAGGATTTGAGAAATCTGGTTCTATTTCTCACATTCTGTGAGAGCTTGTTTGAATTTGGTGTTTTCAACAAAATAGGGTGCCTTTTTTTTTGCTCTATACTTTCATCACTTTCAAGTCACACTGCAGCCTGACAGTACCATTGTTTGATAGTAGCCAAGAATTATTAGGCAGTATATACAGTCCTCTCACTGGCATGAAAAAGAAAAATTCTGTAGGTTTACGTGTGTAAGTGCTTAATACTCCATTTACCCTCTGAAATTGCAATTCAAGAACCTTCTATATCCTTATTTTGCAAGGAAGAACATTTTAAAAATGTGTTCAAATTATCTTCTCTTTCTAAAACATGCCCGAGTAAATCTATCTTTCCTTATTTATAGAAAGTATGTTTTGCATTGTAAATAGGCAGTAAAAAGAAACTAAATATACTGTTTCCCTCACACACTCCAAGTGTTAGCAGAATGACTTTCAGAATTAGATGCACTGAAAGCAACAAAGTAGATTAAGACATTATGGGAATTTGTTTTCAAACATTAACATATATATTCATTGAAAATTAAAATCCAGACACACCCATAAATCATTTCTCTGATTCTAAGCAGCTTCCAGCCCGCAGCTGTTTTGTTAAACAGCACATCTGGTGAATGCAATTGTTGTTATATTTTGATAAGTTAACTCTCTTGCCAGGCATATGGTGATTTGCATGATACAGAGATCACAAAGTCTCTCTTGCAAAAGTTGCAGTTTGTTGGAATTTCCTCAGTGAATCAGGGTTTGCACGTACACCATCTATCAACATTTACAGCTACTTTAATTACAATTGTAGAGCCAAGGCCATTAGGACAAATTGCACTTTGCAATGCTACTATAAATCTGATGTAATGTCATCGATTTTGGGGCAGCTACCTGGGATTTACAGCAACATAGGGGAAGGAAAAAAAACAACAGAATTCTGTTCAATGTGTCCAAAGGCAGTGGAGTGGTAAATGATACAAAATTTTCACATCAAAGACCAAGGGATCATGATCTTTCTCCTAGCTGGACTTTTTACCCTTGATAATACAATAGTTTACTCAAAAATCTTCTTTTCATCTGGCAGGAAAGATAGTAACCTTTGTTCTCTAGTGTCAGATGACCAGTGATATATATATAAGTAACAATATACTGCAGTTCAAATACAGAGCTTGGTCTGACAATATACTATGCTTTTATGAGATTTCTCTGATATTCTAGGTGGGATTTTCAATATTAGAAAAAAAAGAACCATATATGAAAAGGTTGGAAGGACGGATACAGTACAGTTTGAACCACGATGCTATCTTGTTTCCTTTATCCTTACAAAGAGTTGGACAGATGTGAAAGTCAAGGTTTGTATGAACTGCATTAAAAAAGTTCCTGTTTTGCTTCACTGGAGTATTAAATTATTATGGAATTTTGGACTGCTTTAGGAAGTTTGAGATCAGTATATCTACCATAAGCCATTTATCTTGTAAACTACATTTGAATGTTTCAAGCAAGAATGAAAAGCACTGTATTATATCCAGCAAAAGACTTGCATAGCCCATTATTCTACTTCTAAGTGGCCAGCAAGATATTGAGGGAAAGTTTAAAATAGGGCATATTTTATATTAACTCATACCTTGTGACGATCAACAGTATTCACATTCTAAAATTGCATAAATCACAGAAGATCTGTAACTAATGTTATAGAAGATCTAGGGGGATGTCAATGATGCTGGATTTCAAATGGGATCCATTTTTCTAATGGAAGATAAAGTTATGACTGAGTACATAAAATATATGTATTATATACAGTTTACACACACACACACACACACACACACACACACACACACTCTTAAGCAGATAGAAAGTGAAAACTATCATAATAAGGCAGCTCTGGGCAATCCAGGAAGAATTCTAATATTCCTAATCTAGTTGCAGGCAATAGCTGATTGAAACCTCATTAGCAATATATTGTTAGTAGTATGACAGGCTCACCAGATATGCAGAAAAAGCTTACCAAGTTATGTGTTAAAGTCAGATTCAGAAAAACTGAATACAGTTCACTGAGCTCAGTAAATACAATCATAGTTTTCTTTGAAGCACATTCTAGATTATTCAGGTGCTGGGAATTTACAGAGAGAGGGATTACATACCTGAATGTTTCCCATTGAGAGGAAAAAAATCTCTCTATATATATATTAAAAAAAAAAGCATGTGAAGGTGAAGAATGCATTACCCTGAAATACCAGCTTTTAAAGTAAAAAGAGTCTTGCTGATGAGGCTTTATTTTATTTGGGTGGGGAGAGCACATAAATTCCTCAAAAAAAAAATCATACTTCTGCTAAAGAAAAAAAATTCTCTCTGGCAAAAATGTTAATATACCTCCATGCCTTGGAGGTAGTGTCAAAGCCAAGTAAATTGAGTAGCTTGCCTAATGGGCAAACAAATGACAAGAAGATGCCCACCTAGATTTAAAATGTCAATAGATGAATTATATGATGCAAAACAGACACTTTTTCAGACATACATACAGAGTCAAGATTTTCAGAATTTTCCAAAGTTGTAGGGGTTATGGGAGTTCTATTTTTTTAAAAAAAATATATCAAGCTTCCTTATTTTAGGACCAATGCTGCAGCTTTCCCATTTTCTGCTAAAACTAAAATGTGTTCTAAGTTTTGCAATTAGGATTGGAGAATATTTTGAGTGGTGTTTCTCAACCTTGGTCATCTTAAGATGTGTGGACTTCAACTCCCAGAGTTCCTAAAATATGTCAAAGCAGCTCTTTTGGAACAAAAAGTTCTACCAACATGATTGAGCAAAGACAGAAGAACTGACATACATCAGAAGATTTCAGAAGTTCCCCACAAACACAATTGGTTTTTAATTGTAAATTCATATGGTATTTGCAATGTGTCTTAGATGTAACCTGCATTGCCATAACTACTTCATCTCCCCACCTCATATCTCATCAATCTAAATCATCCATTAGTTTATCTACTCCATTAATCTAACAATGATCTGTAGTTAACAACATTTGTGGCTTTAGTCTTATTTAAGTATTAGTCTGAAAAGACGCTACCAGTCTCCTTCTGATTCAAGACACAAAGTGTCTTCTTAAGTATCAGTATTTCTTTTGGCAATACAGGGATGTATTATTTCATTTCTCTTAGGGCAGTGTCTGCTGGTTGAGGAATTCTGGGAGTTGAAGTCCACACATCTGGCAGCTGCCAAAAATGAGAAACAATGGCCCATGATAAGACCTACAATTTTTCTACTGCATTTTTCCTGAAATAATAAATGAGTGGTATGTTAATATTAAGTATAATGGAGACCTATTTGTATATGCATGTGTACATAAACACAGTTATAATCTAAAAGCTATTATGTGTGTGAAAAGGACTGGCCACTAAGAAATTTTTCTCATCTCTTCAAAACCTCACTGTTACAACTCTTATCATTTAAAATTAAGCTGAGTTTTTCCCCCCATTCAATCCTAATCTTAATATGTAGCAACTCCAAACATTTTTATTACTGAAACTATCATAAATAGACTTCAGAATTTTATAAAAGCATGAAACGAGGAAAATACAAGTCAGTCTAAATAAAGTACAGAAGGTACTTTAATAAGGTACTTTAATAAGAAGATAATAAACTTTATTTATCATTTTCTTTTTTATATAAATTGAATAAATATCCAGAAAGTTTGAATTTGTTATTAGAGAAATGTGTTATAATATTTCATGTAAGCAAATTTTTCTGTCCCCCAAAGATATCTTTTTGGGAAGACCTTTTTAATGGGGAATGAAAAGTTCTCACAGTCTTTGTTCATTTTAGGCTTTCTGTCATGCCATGTTTTGCTAAAATCTATGGAGTTCTGTTATCTTCTTATCAAGGACTGAAATTAGTGAACATTATGGGTGCGTTCCTATAGTTTCCAATTCAGAAAGAAAGAGTGGAATGAATCAATAGGCAGCCCAGCCAATCAATATGTTGAAGAAATCTCTGGATGGATGAGAAAGGCTTTCAAAATAAGTCTTTTTGAGATGTGTGGCTGGAAATAACGCATGCTCACAAAAAATAAGTTATTGTAAGAACTGCCAAGAGTTTCCACTGGTACAAAAGGTCAATGACATTCTCCAGAAGACATTCAAGTTGTGGGCAGAGCCTGTTGCTATGATCTTCTTCTCATGTAATCTTTATGCAGAATTTACATCACATTTAATCATTTATTGACAACTGATTTTTGCTTCTAAAATCACAGTGATCCATCTTTAAAAAAACGAAAACAAAAATCATGACTTACAGTTTACTGTGACTTTTACTTTTTTCACATCTGGAACTGAGACCTCATTTTCAGCACTACATTCGTACTCTCCAGCTTGGTCTCTTGTAATTCCATAGATGTCCAAGTATTGTCCATTTTCAAAGGGTTTGGCTGAAATGAAAGAAGAACAAGATGCTGAACATAGGAAATCTGAGGGAAAAGGAACTGGAGCTGAATGAATTTTATTCAGACATAAACAACATGCTACACAAAAGTTCTACTGACAGAACTATTTCTAAAATGAAAAATGAGTACATTTTACTTCTTTTCTTGTGCTCAGAAAACAATCTCACATTGTACAACTGTAATGGTATGTGGAAAAGACTTTGGGAATTTGGGTAAAGAGACACTGCCAGAGGAATGGTCAGATAAGAAACAGCAAAACTGGAAACTGGGTAGTGGGGGGGGGGGAGAAACTCAGAAAAGAGCCTCCCTAGTTTTGGGCTGTAAAGGAGGTAGGGAGAAGAACTGTATTTCCGGACTTGCAAGATTCTGTCAACATAGCTTTACAATAAAGCAGAATAAATTAATTTGATTGTGATTCCTAATTGGTTTATACCAAGTGGCCCACAATAATCTCATTTTAGCAGCAGTGTTATAACAGTGACTAGTCCATGAAACAGTTTAGTATTACCTAACTTCAGCATACTACAAATAACTCTATGCCCATTTGGCAGTTGAGCTGAACAGCCTTCTAGCTGGTAAGATGAATATACCTCAGTTTATATTGATTTTTATAGAATATGGTTGCACGTGGAACAAAAAAAAATAATTTGATGCATACACCCAATTTTTGCAATGGAAAATTATTTCATTCTGACCTAAGATTTTTAATCTCACTGTTCAGTTACAGTTTCAATATCTATTATGTTATAGCTGAAGCATATAGACTATGTTCCTTCATTCAAAATCAGGAAACAGAATAGCAAGACAATAATACATCAACAGTAAATGCCTCAGGCTTTTTTGTTTTACTCACTTTACTTGTTTTACTTAAACTACTGTACTCACAGATCCTTTCCAAACTTGGGTCACTGTTGTGTTATCATATTGAACATGAGTGGAGATTTATCTAACCACAAAGAACTACAGTAATTCCATATAAGTATGAAAAAAGAAGCAGATCTAAAATATATGACTCTATATCATAGCATCAATACAGTCCAATATGTTATAAGCAGTTAGAATCATAGGGGAACATTTGTCTAACAACAATATATCATTCTGACAGTTCTAATTATGTGTTGAATCTTGTTCAACTTAATTCTTAATATAACTGATTTGGAAATAAATCCTTGAAAGAAAGCCCTATCTAAAATTGAGACTGCACCCAGACATCTTCTCCAAGAAGTAGCTGTGGCAATAATCATTTTCCAAAGATAAATATTATTCTGATTCAAATATGTTGCATACCACAATGACTGGAGACACTCCACATGCCACATAAAAACTGAACAACCCATCTTCTGGCAAAAGCTATACACCTACTATTTCTCTTTGAACCTACCAGATTCTAAGAGAAATGGGACTTATCCTTGAATATATAATAAAATTCAAAGCTTTCTACACCATTTTGAAGCTATGAAGCTGTGTCTCATTAAACTTTAAATCTGATGTGATCTTCTGAGAAGAATTGAGAAGCTTCACATTTTAAAGAGAAGAACTTGAGTTACATGCCATTATTCTCATAGTCCCACTTATACACACATTCATCCAAACACATTTCGCTAGCTTCTCCTATTTCCTTTCCTTATTTTTATTTGTTCATCTTCCTTTCTATCCCTTTTGTTACAACTCTTCATTCCAAAATCCAGTTCTGAAGCACTTTCTACAAGGTCCTTAGGTTCTTTAGCCAATCATTTGATCATTTAATCAGTAACTATATAATTTGACCTGAAATAGATGGAAGAGCTCAATGCAATATCAAGAAACATAATTACCTCACTATATCCCAAGGTTAATAAAGACCATTCCCCTTGAATGTTTCCAAATAATCACAGCCAAGAACTATTTTATGTTTCCTTTATTATTCTTTGTTATGCTTAGCTCCCCAAGGTCTCCACATCACAATCTCTCACAACTTATTTAAAAACCATTCTTGCTCCATGACTTTATAGTTTTATTATTCTTGTTAGGACAGTCACTCAGTTAAGGTTTAGAGAATGGTGCACTCATTTTCTTTTCATGAACACTTTTTATTTTAAGAAAATTCTGTTTTAATTTTCATGCCCAAAGTCTACTATATGCATGCTGTCTTTCTGCAAAAGTTTGTTACAGTTGTACGTTTTCCAGGTACATTATAAAAATATGAATTTGAGTTTATAGATAAATGAAGCCAAGAGAGTATTCTTCCAAAGAACAAATATAAAATAAATAAAACAAAGCAAAATAGTTATAAGCTAGGAAAAAATGCCAAGTTCAGTCTTTCAATAGTAAGCCACTTTAAGTAGTATTTGGTAACACCTAAAAAAGTCATGGACAGCATATCCATTAATTCCAGTAGGGTAGAGCTGAGAAAAACAGACACACAACTGCTCAGCCCAAAGCTGATACAACTGTGTGATTTCATCCAGTAGGATAAATTTATACAATCTGGCAAGTAACATTGGTATCAGTTTTAACTTTGCCAATTTTTTTGGCTGTTTTCCTAGATAATTTAGATCATTCCAAGTGAAATAATGTATAAATGATAGTTTAATACAAACATACGCCTCAGAAAAGCAAATGTAAAGAGGGATAAAACAGGGTGAAAACAATTAATGATACAATATAGATTGCAATGGAATTTTTTTATTTTTCTCTCCCATCCCCTTTTTTGGATGGAAAGAATGCATTATAAAAAGTAAACTTCAGCTAAAGAGCCAGCTGTTCTTTTGATGTGGTTGACTGCTGTTGTATTTGACTGTGGATGGATTAAATTACTTTTTAGGAAAGTATTGTTTGCTATCACTGTGAAATGAAGCCTATATTAGCAACCAAATTGATAGAAAAGCTATGCTTTATTCACATTATATTGTACCAATAATTGAATATATTTTGGTGGATAGATTTGCAACAGATTCTTACTGAAGAGTGGTTAATGTCATAGTGCTGATTTTACTGCAGTAGAGAGTAAAATTGAGAAGAATGGGCATGTAAAACTTTGGGCTCCTTGAAACTGATAGGAAAATTTCACCCTCTAGCTCAGGGGTTCTCAACCTTGGCAACTTTAAGACTTGTGGACTTCAACTCCCAGAATTCCTCAGCAAAGCAAAGCTGGCTGAGGAATTCTGGGAGTTGAAGTCCACAAGTCTTAAAGTTGCCAAGGTTGAGAACCCCTGCTCTAGCTAATCAGTGTGCAATATTTTACTTTAAATATCTTTGATTCTTCTTATTCATATATAATTGCCCTTTTTGGAAGGCTGGTCCATCAACTATTGATTTGCAAAAATCCTACTTATTTATAATGATTAACTCTCCGCTGAATTAAACTGTGCTCTGAAGAACACATTTTAGACAACCTGTATCTTCAGGTTCTTATATGGAGAACTAAATATTCATTGGGATTTAGAGTAATAGAAACAAGCATATTTTTGTCAACTGGAAAGTAAAATAATTTCAAATTATTAGGCAACCTGCATTTAGGATTTTCACCCTAACAAATACATCAGCAGCAAATTTCAGGCAATACAAAGAAAAGTACTATGGCAGAAAATAACCCAATACCATTTCAATCTGGAAATTGGTAAAAGTTATGTCAATAAAGATTAGAAGACTATTATGTTATCACTAACAAAACATAGTATATGTATTTTTACTTTATGAACACTGTCCATAAAGTACCTAGAAAGCAGGTACCCTGAAAATAAATAAAACCACCAAGTCATCCTTTTCCAGCTGGCAATCTTCTGGTTTTGTTGGATATCAGCTCTTATAGTTGATATTTATAGCTGAATATTTCAACTTGACCAAGTTATTTTGTTACCTGAATGAGAGGATAAAATTTACATCCCACACATGCAAATCAACACACATAGTTCTCAAAGCACTTCTTTTCATTCTGATATTTAAAAAATATTAATTCATTAAGTAACTTTCTGTCCTTTCCAGACACTCAAAAATGTGTTGCTTAATATAGGCCATGCTACGCTTTCCCCCCTAAAATCTGAGTTTTGCTTTGTATTCATAGCAAACTTGATTTCTGATTTTGGAAATAATCTGGAATGATATTCAGGAACTATCTCAAATAAAATCTTAAAAACAGCATTCATAATAGTAGTAAAGTGAAAATGGATAATATTTGTCATACACATAGACAAGCTATTCCCAGTCAGATCTAATATTTAATAATTCTTATTTTTGTATCTTTTCATTCACATTGTTGGATTTCTCCATCTCTCATATTTTGAGTAATTTCCAGGATTGTAGTACTGATGGCTTTGAAGATTTGAGAAGAGTAACCAAGGTTAATATTATTGCCACTCTAATATTAACAGAAGTGACAGGCTTCAGAGTACAACTAGTACACCAGTATCGCACAAGTATCACAACTTGCCAATCCAGCTTTTTTAAAACAAAAAAGAAAAACAAACCACAAACAGTAACTTCATAGAAAATTTATGTGTCTTGTAGAGAAATCTGTGATTGGTGGGCTGAAGAAGGAAATTAGGGAATGTGAAAGAATACTAAATAACAAGTATCTCCAGCAATGCAATACAATGCAGAAAAGTTGTTAAGCATGTAGTTTTCTTATTAGACTTGCTATTTGTTTCTGTCACAATGTCTTAATCAAATATTCCTGTTGGGGCACATCTTTGAAAACGTTACAGCAATCAAATAAAATTACATGCTGTAAAGAGAATAATATTGAAAAATAATGATCATCCTCTCTACCCTGCAAAATAGTCATTTCTAAGTGTTGGAATCTGTAAGACTTCACAGGAGACATTCAAAAGAAGATGACATCCATCAATTTGTTCTTACAATCTTCAAAGAATTAAGTGAGCATAAAACAGTCAAAATACTGTACATTGCAGAGTGTGGACTTATCCTTTGTCTTTGTCTTATACTTTCCTTTGTCCTGAAACCAGGAATCACTTATCACTCTAAATCCTGCTACCCCATGCATACCC